CCCTTCCTTAAATTGAGTTGTAGAATTTCACATATTAAACATGTAACAATATTGACAAGCCAACATTTCTGTTTAGATACACAACAAAACTTTCACATAGGAAAGGAATAAGACTGTACTGTCCTCCTAAATATTAATGAGCTAGACACAATTGTTATAAAATTCTTGGATATATTAGTTTTACACTAGAATCTTCAGTGGTAGCATTGGTTTCTAAAGAGTCAAATCCCTAATCTTTTCTTAACTGATTCTTCTACAGAAACAAACTTTTAGTCAATACGTCTGTGTAGCATCAAGCCCACTGAGACTTGCCTATAATCTTGTAAATCCAGTTCCTCATGGCAATTCCTACTCCCGATTATCATATTGTTTGTCTATACCTTCTTCAAATTAATTCTGTGTTATCTACTAAATCAGTCCCAAATAATGGCACTCACTCCACTGTTTGCTGTGCTATGCACAAGTTTGAAAAACATGCACAACACCTCATTTTGGGTGATACAGCCAACAGGAGAGCTGTTCTCGAAAAGAGGTTCATTTGCAGAAAAAAGTATTTGCTAGTAATATATCAAGCACTTTACCTGTGCACAATATTAACTTATTGATAGAAGACATTAAAATGATACATAAACCCCAACAATATGTATTTTCAAAAGTCTAAGAAATAGCCTTCTCTGCTGCAGTTACTACTGCTGCTCACAAACATGAGCATAACTGGGGGATAAATCAGTAGCTTGACTGCCTAGCTGCATGAGGTACCACTACAGAAAGGTGGGTGAGTAAAGGAATAGCTTCCCATTGAACCTGGAAGCAGGGAGGGATTTGGATTAACATAAAGCAGTTCTAGGGAGCGATATTTGCTATAATAAATAACCAGCTTTAAATTATATCAGATGTAGAAATAAACACATGCACTCAGTCCACACGCCACTGACTGTTCAAGGAGGAGAGACTGCAACCCATCCCCCCCATACCCCCACAGCTGTGTAACCTGTTCAGAGCAAAACAAACAAAACCAAAATAAACCTTGTTTTTCATTACCAAGGTCAAATTTTATTGCAATAGATGCCATTTTTAAATACCTGGACCAGAACTAAGTCATTGTAGATTGGACAAAAAGAACAAAACAGGCATGAATTTAGTGTTTGCTGAAATTCTGGTTTTTTGTTTTGTTTTGTTTCAGTGATTTGGAGAAAGTCCCTATTATTGTCATTTTATACAAGGGAAAATGTAGGTAGAGAAAGAATTCACTTCACAGGACCCCTCAGCAGACCTGTGGCAGGTACCAGAAAAGAACTAATGTAACCTGAGTCCTGACCTAATGATTTATATGTGATTGAAAATTGTAGTGGAAGAGAATATTATTTGGCTGCAAAGCTAATACTAACAAAGTAAGAAATGCCAAGATAGCTCTCCTAAATCTAACCTTTTGTGATCTCTGTTATAAGACAGTATGTTCAGGAACATAGAATAAAAGTTGTTTCTGTAGGGCTGCTGTCTCAATCGGTACACAACTCCATATGCAGTCAACTAAGCTACTGAATAATTTAATTTCTCCTAATTGTCAAATATGTGTTTCATGTCTCACTTAGAGCACACTGTTCTACTCTTTCTCTGAAAACAGAAAAAATAAATTATTTGTGGGTTATTTTACAGAATTTACTAAAGTGGTATTTTACTGATGCAATAAAATGATTTTTTACTTTGAAACATCCTGGTTAGGTGAGAAGCTGGAATTATTTGTATTTGCCAGACAAAAAAAATGGATCACCAAGAATAATCACAAGTTATCACTAATTCAGGAGAGGGGTTCAATTTCAGAAATGTAGCATCCAATTCTTCAGAGCAATTACCACAGTAAAAATTACAAAACAAGAAAAAAGGAAGCCATCCTACAGGAAATCCTGATCTCTGGGGATTCTTTCTTCCAAAATGGAATGTAATCTTGAAGCTTCTTTTAGAAGTCAGTACTAAGACTCGGGACATTCCTGATGCTGTTCTGCGCTGTCAGGACATAATATTAGTACTGATCTGAGAGAAGGGAAAAATTTTTGGAGCTAGGCTGGGAATGAAAAGAAAAGCTCTCCAGTTATATGTCGGCAAAGAGGAGAATGTAAAATTCAAAGAATTTTCAAATTCAAAGGAAAATTCAAAAAAGTCTGGTCCTCTTGACTTCTGGGGAATCAGGAGCCACTAGGCTGGTATTTCACAAGGTCCACAACAGTAGCTCCAGTAGTCCATAAAGTACTGTCTGGTTTCCATCTGCATTTTCCAAATCAGTGCATTACCATGCAACGTGCTGATTTTGGTGACATACATTGTTGTTTGACAAGTTCAAAGCCTGAATCTCTGTTTCAGCCACAATATTACACAGAATTCTGCATCAGAAGCAGCAAAAAGCCACTACTGCACTGGGCTCTTGATTCATTACAAAGCAAGCCTTCCTTTTCACCCCTCGACATGTCACCTCACCTCTGACTTGGTGAGCCAGGACTGCCGGCAGCAGGCAGCACGGAGGGGCCCAGCAGGAAGGGAAGCAAGGAGATGCCCCTTCCTTTATTCAACAGAGAATCAACAACTGCTGAATGAACAGAGACAGATCAGCGCTTAGTACTTCAGACTGAAATTCAGACCCATGTTCCACAACCAGATGCAGCAGAAGCTTGACTCTGCATGTCCTACATCCCAAACATGCGTTTTAATTACTGGGGTATGTGTTCCTTGGTGGGTAGAAGATGAGTGATAAAGGAGTTTTCTCTTTATGATCAGATTCCATCTTGGATTCAAGAAATCCTTCCTGTTAAAAATCTTTTCCTGTTGATTTGCTACCACAAAAAGTTCTGGTGAAATCATTATTTCCTGTCCTGCTCCCCTCAAATTTAAATAGAAAATGTCTTTTAGAGAACGGCATTTGCTATCAGGAACTTTTTTACGTCATGCATTGTGCAAGTTTTATAGCAAGGAAAACAGCAATGCACTGAGCAATTCCAATTCCCCACATTAGTTTGTACATTTAAAAAACCCCCAAAAACTAAGGCACAGTACTTAGTGGAAAAGCAGTCTGCAAACATATAGCTAAAGACTGAATCACTGCATACATAACCTAAAGACACTAAAGAGTTGCATAGCTAATCTTCATACTATTACTTCCTAACCCTTATTTTGCACAACTTGAGTCTGTAAACCTAATAGTATTCTTTTAACAGCATTTTTTGGTTGACTTACAGCAAATTCATCCCACAAACTGAAAAATAAAAATTCCAATATATGGTCTGATATTGTCACTCATCTCTGTTACTTGAGCCAGCTAAGTACCCACAGCAGTGTACATTGTCATCTTAACTTGGGAACGACTGCTAAAAGAGGCCACCTACCAGCAGGATATAATATTTTCTGACTCTGACACTATTTCTACCTTGAGCTACATTGCAGGTAAGCAAGGGAACAGGACGTAACATTTCTTGTACTCTCCTTTTGCCTTATGCAAAGGTCTTCCTCATTGCCTTACAAAAGTACCCTTTACTGATTCCATTTTTTTTTTAACTGTATCTCAATTTTCCTCCAATTCACTGCTAGCACATTGCTTCCCTCCCTGACTGTTTTTTGTCCTCCCATAGTTTAATCTATGTTTGGAGCACAGACCCTGGAGGTACTTCACCACAGGAGGTTCAACTATCCCAGCTCCTACTCCACCTACTTATTTGCAAGTAAATATTCACAGCCTCCACACAGCTGAAAAGAAGGGTTTTAAGAGGCAGATTTTCAAGACAGGGAAGTCAAACATTTTAAGGCAGAGAAGCTCATTCTAAGGAGGACAGCTATATTAGGCAAATGTTAAATATTCAGTCAAAGTACAGGTGTAGTCAGAAATTTGGTTATCAAACTTGTCAAGAAGCCATTTATTAGGATGAATGAGACTCCTTTACTGGTCCACAAAAATTACAAGATTTCAAGATACAATGCTGTGTCCAGGGGAAACCAAACTCTCAAAAGCTAGTAAGAGAAATCTGCAGCCTTGGAAAGACAGAAACCTGGCTGCAGCATTTACCTGCAATCTAGGATATTAAAGTACCTCCTATTCTGTATCTGAGCAGGGACTTGAATTTGGATGTCCCACACCTCAGCGGAGTGCCCTAACACAAGTACATGGACTCCTAGCAGGATTCATCTCGGCTACCTCCAGGTGTCTCCATACAGGGAAGGAGCCAGCAGTGGCACTGGAGTCTTGGATAGAATACACCTCGTGCTAGAGGAAAGGCTGAGGTTAGTCCAAATGAGCTGGGACTATAAAGTGACCACCTCTTCCTGTTTGGTCTCAGGTCACCTTGGGATGACAAGCTCTAATGTAACCACCTGTACTGTAGAACCTTTGTCACATCTTTCTAGCTAAGCTTGTTTTTCTTTCTGGCTAATAAATCTTTATTTATATAACTGGACAAACTTCAGTACAAAAAGACTCCTGTAAGATGACAGATACATATGCTATGAACCCACTATACAGTTTTTTAAAAATGTCTCCACTTTTCCATCCTTCATTTTTTATACTAGTTTAAACTATGACAAAATTCAGAAAATGTGTACTTCCATTACTTTTTTTCAGGTCTAATATCAGTAGCTATTATTACTAGTAATCTTATCAAAGATGATGTGTAATATTAATAATATCCATATAATTTCAGGTATTTTGAAACCATCACTTCTATTTAACTAGAAAAGGATCTCTTCAGATTTTATTTACCTTATGGATGGCTACCTACCTCTCCCCACTGAGACAAACAGCAAAACAAGAAAATTGAACGTAAGCAGGATAGACCAAAACCAGCACTATATGAAGTTTACCTGATAGTTATTTTAAAACTATTTCTAGTGGCAAGATTTCTGCATTATGGGAATCATGAGTTTCTCACAGCAGAGAGAAGGCTATTTTTAGCTTAGTGATATGAATGTAGAAAAATATACTTCACAGCCTATTTGTAGCTAGCATCATTATAGGCACTTACCTAAGCTGGATCTCGTGTTGGATCGCTCTATGATCGCGTGCTTACTGGGGTTGTTTAATACTGAGCGTTTGGCAAGCGAGATGTCTGCTGTGACTCGTGTAATTGATATACTGCAAAAGAAAAACCAACAGTAAAATAGAACAGAATGCTACTTCTCTTTTAGGGATGCAGGGAGAAAAAGACTTGTTTAAGACTAGAAGATTGCCAAGACTACAGGAAAATAAGTTCTCGGGAGCACAGCAGGCTTTGCACAATGTGAACAGAGAAGACTTTTTATCTAACTAAACCACTGGTAAGACATCCCCCTTTCTGCACAGTCACAAAATGCAGTATGACCATGGACTGCCAAGCTTCACATCTGGGAAGAGAGGAGGCAGGAGGAGGTCAGAGACGTGCTGCAGAAGACAGGACCTCACGGGGGGCTCCAGGTCTGATGCAGTTAGACTTTGCACCAGTATACCCGGCACAAATAGGCTCATTTCATCTTTCCCTAATTTTGATTAATTTGTTGAAAGGTACTGAATGACAAACTGGTTTACTTTAACCATACATATAAGATATACAGGGATGTGCAGAGTTAAAAGGTAAAGGTAAGGCTTCACAGTGGAAACTAAAACAGCCAATTAACTCTTCTTTTTATTGTTCAGTTTACTAGCATATATTTTTTAACTGAGTGCAAGAGTTACCTAAAATTTTCGGAAAGATCCAGCAATGTGCTGGCATTCTGAAAATGGGGACTGCAACACAAAGAAGCATGTAATTGAAAACTCTTGGCTAAGTTATCTGGCAGCCTCAGCTTTGTGTTTATGAGAAAAGATAAGCCCAGAAAGAATTGGTTACTTCCAGTAGCTTGCATTGACCTGCTACATAACCTTCTGCATATTTGTCTTCCTAGGAAAAGTTAACTCAGTTTATTTTGCTCTACAAGGTCAACATGCACCCTTTGCATAAGTTCCCTTTCAAACTTTCTGGCCTAATGAGGTTTAGGGGTCACATTTTTCCAGTGCTGAGAGTTAAATCAGACTGATGCTATTCCCTTGTTCTTCTTTGTATGATTTTGCTTGCAACTTAAGAGGAGGAAATGGATTTGCTAAGAACAGGGAGGGTCTCCTCTAGCAAGCACAGTCAGATGCTGTTCATCTGAAATGTAACCAAATAGGTCATTTCCCAATGAGCTCAACATGTGTATATATTTATCTAAAACCCTAGAAAATTTAACAAAGCCAGAAGTTAATACAGAAAAACAGAATTATTTGCACAATACTGGTTAGTAGCATGATTTTGGAAATTTAGCCATGATTTAACTTAAGCTAAAAACATAACCAAAGATTGTGATTTCTGGCAGAGATCCTCACAGACAATGCCATTAATCTTAAAATGAAATCCATCATGTAATTCAAGATACTTATGAGTTATCTTTATTTGCTAATTGGTGAACACTACAAACTTTTATACATTTTGGGTTTTTGCTTTGTTTTGTTTTACTGCCAGTCTTCCAACATGCAATAGAAAATATTTTTTCCCTTTTTCACATCAATTGTATTGAGAGTATTTGTGGATTCACCCTGCCACAGCTAGATCTACAACTGAAAACTAGATCTGTTCTCAAATACTTTAAGACATAAAAATCCAATAACATTTTTCTACTTGCAACACTCACTACTTTGTTAACTTTAATTTTTTGAAGGTACATATCTGAGATTTGACAACTCTGACTAATATAAAGAAGGACTAAGTGCTTAGGTATCAACATCAACATTCTGACTGAGAAAATCCAACAGCTTAAACCACAATGTCCGGTATTTTAAAGAGCTGAAGCTATTGCCAGAAAATCCCAAGCTCCCTCTTCAAAGTTAGGACAGAGAGAATAGTGTTCCTGCTCTGCCCACATCCAAACTAAGCAGAATATTCATTCAAGTTACAGGTATTGTAACAAGACCTTTCTGTTTTCTCAGTTCTTCCCCCCTGATGTCAACCCACTAGCACATATTAATCTGAGGCTTGATCCAGTAGCAATAGTCATGTGGAGAACACACAGGTCGTCTCTGGTCCATGGGTCCATCATGTTTGAATTAAAGAACATGCCACTACTTTTACAGATGGATTATCATTTTACATTTGCACTATAGTAGCGTCTGGAGACATTAACAGCATTACTGTCAAACCAAGCTCCCATCATGAAGGATCAAGAATCTGTCAATCATATACATCAGTCAGTCTGACCCTTCTATCCCAAGTTTGCTGCCACTGTAAGGAGGTAGTGCTCAGGAGGAATGGTGGCCCTCATCAGCTTGTACAGAACCCAGGAAGCACTGATGATGATCACTTGAAAAATACTTCAATAAATTTCTAAGAAAACACATGTATGAAATTTGTAGATAGATACGTAGCAATTTGGAGATTGAATGTCAAAGTCAGCAAGAAGACTCTCAGCAAATACATGTCCCTGAACGCTCAACAAATGCAAGCCCCTGAACACTTCCTACTGCCACACAGCCTCAGCATGGTCTGCTAAGGAAACTTCCAATGCACACTATAGACTACAAATCAAGGAATTATCTGCCATTCCTAATTTTCTTAACAAAAAAACCAAAACAAAAAAAATTACATCATTTCTTAAAAACCTGGCAGCACCTAAACAGGACCTGAACTCAAGTAGATTTGCATTGCAAAGTACTTACCGCCCTTCGAATCTATGTTTTAAAAAATCAAATAATGCTTTTTGCATCATATCTGTTACCTAGAAGCAAACAAACAACAAATTAATAATCACATGGGAAATTCATAATACTTGATGCTAACAATAACACGTAATAAAGTTGACAGTAAATCTTATATCTTAACATTAGGATTGGAATGTAATTTATTCCTAATCTGAATTCTCATACAAAAGAAAATACAAATAAACAGCTATCTAGTAGAAGTAAAAACTGTATAGACTTTTGTCCATTATATAAATTACGTCATTCAGCTTAACTACATTTGAACATTTAAATACAAACGTACCACAATATTTCTGGCAAAATGAACCCACAACAGTCGCTTACCTCATAGCCCTTCAGAGAAGGCCCCACTAAAACTACTGGTCGCATAGAAGGCACTACATCATAGGGAGGGATGTGCTCTGTCTGCAAAACAGGAAAAGCTTTCAGCATCACAGCACCTACAGCAAGCGTTACACATTACTTACAGTATTAAGTACTCTGAATTTGCAGTGATGTCACCAACACAGGAATCACAGATTCATTAACTTTTTCCAAAAACTGGTAGTATGAGACAAGGACATACCAGGTTCAGGGTTTTCTTCTTAAAAACCTTTTCTCTGAATTTTGGGGTTTGTAATGTTTTCATGTTTGCTCTGGATAGCTACGAAACTGTTATTCTGGAGATATTCACATGCCTCCGTAATTTTTAGCTGGTAAATTGAAAAGGTTATGATTTGAAATGGCTGACTAGAGCTGTGACATGTCTCCTACCAAAATTTTATGTAGAGAAATTATGAAAGAGAATAATCAAATAAACAGGGATTGGAAAAGCATAACACATCTCTTTTTTATGTTCAGATCTGCCCACTGATTGACAAAACATTGTGACATCATTGCATATTCCCATATGAGCACTCATAGTCTTGACTTGCACATTTGCATCCACAATTCACTTGCAAATGAAATCAAAATAATGGTTGATCAAGTCTGTATTTCTAGAGAATTTTCATAAACAGAGCTTGGGATAGCAATCCTTCCACTTTGGGAAGTTCCTGTCATCACCCAAGAATGGATTCTGTTAGTAAGATATTCACCACGCTACTGATGTATTGTGCACCATTCCTAAGAAGTATTTTAAAATACAAAGATAAAAAGGTTGCCTGCTGCCAAAAATTGCAATTTTTTACAATATCATTATCAAAATAAAATATGAAAAAATGAAACTTTTTTTTTCCTTTAATAAATGGCTACTCAACACATATCACCAAGAATTAGTCTTATCAATAAGACTCCTTTGTTTGTAAAGGAGGATTTGGTTTACCTTTGGGAAAAAAAAAAATCCAAGACCAGGAATGTGTGGGTGATATGGAAAAAGGTATGCCAGATCTATTTTCTAGTGCCTACGCAGTACAAATACATCAGTAAATATCAGAGAATACAGTCATTGTTCATTTTCCATACTCAACGTATCCCAAGGTGTTTCACAGTAACATTAAAATAAGTACATACATTCCAAAACACAGAACCACATAGACAGACATTAATAGTGACAGCACAAAATGCTAAACAAGCAGCAGTCTAAAGCAGTCTAAAACACAGAAAACATTTTTGTGTATGTTTTTCAATGTAATTTATCTTACTTTTTGTTACCTGTAGCTTCACCAGATAATCAGTAACATAAGAATACCAGTGCCCAAGGCATCACAAGCATGTGAAATGAATTTATTTAACACAGTGCAGAATCTGACTCAACACATTTCAAAGCAAAACCCTGCAGTTATGCTGTACCAGTACCAAAATGCAGCCCTCCACCGCTCTTGCTAATCTTATGAATAATCTGATAAGCGTATTAGAGACATATCCTAAGAAAAATTCATTACAGATGTGTTTAAATGATTACAGCATGAGTGTCATGAATGCAACAGATCTTTGTCTTAATATGGCTGACTCAACCAAAGATATTCATGCTAGAAGTTAACTAGGTATTTGAAAATTAGAGAGAGCACAGGAATTACCTTGTTTGATGGAACCTGGGGTATTTTAAAAATCTGTTCTGCTGAAATGTGCTTTTTTTCCTCTGATCTTTACAGCTTGAAGAAATGGAGTTATCGGCAGCAAACTAAGTAAAAGCTACTTAATGGAAGCATTAAAGTTCTTTAATTTAGTAATATTTTCTAAGGGGCTGGCACTGAGCTATACAGCTTTCACAGTTAGATATGAACTCAGAATACAAACTGGCAAGGTTTTGACCATAAGGCTTTTGCTCAGTATTTTGTCTAAGTGGATTAGTTTGGGATCCCCATCCAGTATTTGCTGCACATGTCAGTATTATAAAACCCACTATAACAAATAATGATTGTGATACGGAAGAGGCGCCACAGAACGTTAGGGGTTGGAGGGGACCCTTGGAGATCAAGTCCAACCCCTCTGCTGAAGCAGGTTCACCTACAGAGTAGGTTGCCCAGGACTGCCTCCATGCTAGTCTGAGTGAAGAGAAGGATGGGACTAGCCACCATCCAGGTCCAAGGTGGTTCATCTAGCAGCTGCATCTTCTAAAGATGCTTATGAAGATAGCATCCAGTACATGTCAATATGTATTCCTCCTTAACATTTATATTTGGTTATAAATATAATTAACTAAGAAATTATTCAACAGCAAAAAACTGCTGTTGATTTCCATAGTGGGCTGTGAATGACATGGTACTTAAC